ACAGAATCAATAGTTTGACACTCACCTCTTGAAATATGAGCTGTTTCTTCAAAAGTCCAATAAAGTCAGATTTCAGGTGCTGCCATAGAGATATTCTTTATTTAATAGTTCTTTATTTAAAGGAGCTTTTTAGCTTCGAGTGAATTCCTCACCACATGAGCCTGGGGTGTGACGATGTCATCATCAGCTTCTCGTATTCTATCTCACAGCCAGGCACACTGATGTGGTATCTGTGAACACACGAACGTGAACACACACTCAAGAGATGTGTGTTTCCTGTCGTTGGAGGGTTGAGAGTTGCTCTGCAGACTTCTGACAGGTGCTTACCTTTGCAGCTGTGTGAGCACAGAAGGAACGTTACAGGCTCCATAGTGAAAGGGGGTCAGGACAGCACCTTTCCTAAAGTGGGAGACACAACGTTTATGTTCCAATACAGTTAAGAGAGGAGGCGGTGGTAGGCTGTGGGGAGGTTGAATTTGTATGGTTTTGTGTTTCCTCCTGTGTAGAACACAGACAGTGACCTTTAAGGTGTGGAACACTATCGACGTGGGCCTGAGGTCGTGGGTCCATGGGTGATCCCGTTTTACGGTGACCCTGAGAGGTCAATACACTGCAACTCACATCTTATGTGGTGTGTCTATTTGCAACTGTGGTGTGTTGAACTCTCAGGGCCAGTGTGTCATTGTGCATGATTGAGTATTTGATAAGACAGAGGAATTCAAATAGCATCAAACTAATCTTAACAGTATTATAATCACATTTAAAGTAATACCACACGTCAATTACATTTGGTGATTGATTTTAGGAATAGTTGATGTTCTCGTCTCAAGCTGGTTTATGATAAAAACAAAAGAGCCACAGAGGCTATTTCCATCTCTCAGACTTGTGGTTTGTGTCTCTCAGTGTGGCCAGTGAAGCATTTAAAAATAGACTTTGGCCTGTTTTCAGTTTCAAGTCAAAAGTGATTTATTTTTTTAATTACACAAAAACCATTGACCAAGTGTCAGTGACTGGAATACCTTACGTATCGTTCTTTTAACCTTAGCTTCCTGTGTAATGGAAGCCAAACCGTGGCCACATTAGATTGGGGAGAGGAGACATGAAATAAGATGCATCTCAGATTGCGTGAACTGTCGCATTTTCTACCTCCGAGACAACTCTGAGCTGTCGTCTCTTGTGGTGAGTGGCTGCTGCTGCTGTTGCTGCTATAGAGCATGCACTGGCAGGAAGTCAGTCCAAACAGTACAGGAAGCGCACTGAAATATGTGCTCAGAAGACGACCGTGGTAAAAATAAAAGGTCTCACTTGCTGAAACCACCTGCGTTTACACTATTATGAACTCATGAGGACAGGTGAAGTAGTTTCACTTTTGAAATAAAGTTGCACCACATACCTACACCATCTTTGGATCACTGCTTGGGAGAGACTCTTTGAGCCTTTAGGAGTAGTCCTACTTTCCCTCTCAACCACGGGTGTCACGACTTCCAAATGTGGCTGGAAATCACGTTCTGTTACGCAATCAAAAAAAGATACGATCGATATGCAGAAAGTTTTCCAGCCCTCCTACCTCTCGCTTCACGATGCAGGTGCTGGCCTCTTTTATGTGAGTGTGTGTGCTGCTGATGCTTATACACTCAAACACAATCTTTAACAAATTCAAACAGTTTCCCAAGAATCAATGGATAAATATGCTTTAAATGGTAAATGGTTGTATTTACGTATATATCGCTTTTCTAGTCTTGAAGACCACTCAAAGTGCTTTACACTACAGTTTTCCATTCACCCATTCACACACACATTCATACATAGAGTGCTTCTATAGCTAGCACTTTTTGTTGTTCTATTGGGCAGTTTGGGGTTCAGTATCTTGCCCAGGACACTTTGGCATGCAGATGGGAAGACTGGGGATTGAACTTCCGACCTTCTGGTTGGAGGATGACCGCTCTACCCCCTCAGCCACAGCCACCCCACTTTATGTGCATCAGTTTCTGCTCATATAATACATTGTGGTATTTGTGGGGAAAAGGTCAAGGGAAACTATCTGCAGGGCAGACATGAGTGGCACAAGAAACATTAGTCCACACTGTTCATTGTAACAGCATTCAATAAGGTATTAAGCCTCAAGGTGTCATACCTCTGCCTCTATACGTTCTCCATATTATACTCATTCCCACTATCAAGGTCTAACGTCACACATGACGTCACCCGTGTCCTGAAGTATACTGTATTATGATCATTTCAACAGTCCTACTTGTGCTCTCATTTCGCACAAAGACCACACTCTTGCCAAGGCATATTTGGTTTCTTGTTCAACTAATTGTCACTCAACAATGCCTGTGGTTCTGCACATCCCTCCAGGGCCCCATTCATATGTGTGGATATTACACCGGGTCATGAAAGTCTCGTGGAGGGAAAGAAGAGCCATTGTGCATGGGGAGCTCTGGGACCCAGGTTGGATGACATGAGGAGGACCTGATGGAGCATCTGGTGACATTTGGCCAAGATAAGACTGATAATAGACTGTGCTCAGTCAGATGCACAGAATCTGTTCAACCATGTAATGACGTATATTCTAAAGCAACATGATGCAACCTTTAACCTGAACATAGCAGTTTTTATATTAGTTTGATGGTTTTCTTACTTGGAATAGGGGGAGTGGTGGTGCTTTCACCCTGAACACCTGTTTGTGCTCCATGTAACTTTGGTGAGACTGATCAGCACCGAACTGACTGATAGGTTACAGGTTAAATTGCCAAAATCAGGTCCAGCAAGTTCAAGAATATTTCCGATCTGTAGATCAGTTAATAAGACTAAGAAGCCATTAAAAACAGAGTTTGGTGTATTTGTCATGACAGCAGCTCTTCTGGTTCAGGAAGCCGGGGATCATGAGGAATATCCACCTCTCAGTTGTGTTTCAGTCCAGTGAGTGGGACAACACAGGGCTCCACTCAACAGATTGCTAAACCTGTTTTTCTCTCTACAGGTAAACCACTTAATCTTGAAAATGAAGCAGTGCTGTAACCGCCATCTATTGTTCCATAATCTTCTTGGTTCACTTGTACTTTTGCATTTACTGGCAGATGATGACAAAAAGCATAACAAATAATTATGATTCTATAAAGCTGCCTTCAGACTGGACTCCGCAGATCCTCCGTATTTTCTCTGAAGGAGGTGCAATTATGAATGCAAATGTCCGAGTGAGACACTCACTGCAGTTTCTAAGGACTTTATCCACCTGCCCTACTAGTATAAAGCCATTCTGGATAATGTAAATACACAAGTCAACAAAATATATGACATCGGTCTATTTGTTTTTAGATATTTGAATGAAGATTTGTTGACATGGAGCTCAACAGAATTAGTCACCATGTGTGGCTGCAGGGAGCGTTGTTCTTCAGTACGTTTTGGTGCTCTAAACTTCCGTGCACGCATATGTCAATAAAATACAATTGCACAAATACAACAGGTAGACATAGTAAAGTGTGTTTAATATGGTATTGCATGTGCAAGAGAATTGCAGTTTACATTTTAAGGCATTTTTCTTTTATACTCATTTGTCATATACACGTTCATTTTACAGAAGCATGATTTCACAACAATAAGAAAACTTTAATGTTTTTCTTAAACAACTATAAAAAAGTAAAATATCACTTAAGAAAAACTATTTTTTTCTTCTTAATTGTTTTATATATAATAAACTATTTAACTTGCTCAATGCACATTATACTTGGTCACTGTCCAGCCATTTGTAGATTACAATCTGTGCCCTGCAGCATCTTGATGTTGTAATGGAAAACTAAATGCATCACATGTGGCCTCCTGGGTCGTGTCACTGCAGTGGTGAGAGTGTGGAGATATTTTTGGTGTGTGTGAAGAAAGGGTGTAAAAATGCTGCAGTGTGACCTCCCGCTTCCTCTGAGGATACTGGTAACTGGACAGTGCACTGACAAATCAGCAGCTGGAATATGCTGCATGGAGGGAAAACTGTTTTAGAGAGCATTTTTTTAAACTGTGCCAGGACCAGATTGGAGCAGAAATGCAACCTTCATACTTTTTATTTCAGTCAAAAATATCACTACTGATCTGAACCATATTACAGTATGGTTTGTTTTTTGAAACCTTTACACTTCATACCAACTCCCAGGTTTTATTTGTCTACGTTGTTTCATGTTGCATTGTGCAAATAACAGTCAATAGAGCAGCTCAGGCTCCATCCAGGAGGAAGGTGTGTTGGTATTAAGGAACTGTGCCCATGCAGGTCTGTACACAGAGGCTTCCTCATGCACATCAAGCCAATGTGCACATCAAATAAGTCCTTTCATTTTAACCCTGCAGTAGCTGGCAGCCTCTCTCCACTCTGGCACCAAAACACCTTTAGAGGAGGAAACAGTCACAATAATAATGATAATGTGTCTACACAAGCTCAGAGGAGTCAGAGGAGGGGACTGGAAGATTCTCAGTAACATTAATGACGAGGTGTTTTTTTAAGCTTTCAACACAGTGAGAACCGCCTGGAGTTGATGTTCATCTTGGTGAGGCCCAGGTGCTTCAGCGTGGTGGACAGGGCGAAGGTGGCCTTCATGGGGATGTCACACAGCAGGTCAGACTCCTCTCCGCACTCCTCCAGCTCGTACGTGGCGTCGTCCAGCATCTCCTTGTGGCGGTCGCAAACCTGCTCCACCTTCAGCCGGTGGATCTCCCCACGCAGGCGGATGAGCTGGCGGGCCAAACGGTTGTCCTGGACTTGCATCTCCCTCTGAGGAGGAAGAGGAGGAGAAGGGAGCAGGGGTGAATGAATAAATGGAGGTTGGAAGAGGTTTGAGAGTTAAAGAGAAAGTATGGAACCAGAAAGAATGGGGAAGTTTGGACTATTTATACTTTAATCTCTTTTTATCTTCTTATGAAAGCTTGTTAATCACTGCTGTGTGCATTATGAGGGTAGCTGCCTCAGACCTTGGGAGAACAGACATCCATTTGTCTCAAAACTATTTGTTTAGGCTAGGAGAGCTGCATGAAGTCACTCATGCTATGCCTTGAATTTAAGTCTGGAATGGAGAGGACATCACTACTATAGCACAGATATAGAAGCTATCATTTTGTATTTTGGTTTGAACTTAACAGCCAGAGAAAAGTTGGATAAAATCATCAGGTTCAGTGATCACTCACCAGCTCTTTTCTCAGAAACTCCAAAGCATCATCAATAGTCTCAAAGCCACAGATGTTGCGCACAACCAGTTCTGAGTTCTCATTGCGTAAAACCACAGGCACGGAGACGGTCTGTTCCTCCGCAGAGCCCGGACTACCAGTGTCCGTGTCCGCTGAATAGCCTTCCTTCCACGGTCGGCTCTGGACGTGCTCCTGCCACTCCAGATAGGACGGTCTGCGCGTCTGTAACTTCAGCTTCTCCGTCAGCGCCTTCACGCTGTCCAGATCCTCCGTGCGTCCCTCGCATGACTCCTCTCCAAACTCTTTCAAATCCATCGTGTTTGACAGGGTCGGATCACAACCCACAGGAATCCACGTTGAGTTCAGGTTAAGTTCCCTCTTTGGTTTCTCAGTTTAGCGATAAGCGCAACAGGTCCTCCTCGCCTCCTTTATAAGGAGTGACCGCCCATCTCGCAGGACTCACAGGCTGCATCATTTATAGGCTTCTCATGGAAGGAAGCCAGATCTCTTTGACCTTGCGGCACAGACTGCGTGTCTCTTTGTCACATATCAACTCAAAGAGTCCAACTCACAATGCAAAATAAATTCAAGCAAATACAATTATTGTGAATGTTTGAGTCAACATGTGCGTAAAAACGGTGGAGAAATGAATGAGTTTAACTTTTTTTAAACTTTGATGACAAATTGAATGCTGGAAATGATCTAAGTGCACAATATTTTTTAAGTCAGTTGCATTTTTATGGAAGTGTTATGTTACCTGTAAAACTTAGAAATAAAAACTAATCATTTTATTTCAGTTGTTTTGACACAAGTCGTAACTTTTAACCTGTAAAGTGCCTAACTGTGCTTTAAA